AGGTGGTCCTGTGCACCAAGGAGGTGTCAGTGGGCGCCCGCAAGAACGCCTTTGCGCTGCTAGTGGAGATGGGCGAAGCCTTCCTGCGCTTCGGTCCTGCCCCACAAGGTGAGACAACCCCCCTGGGTGTTGGGCCACGGACTCGCTATGGTCCCTGGTGCCGAGATCCCCCTGTGCCCTCCTGCGGTGGTGGGGCCAAGCCCTTCGCTGACCTGGCTGCCGCCCCGCAGAGGCCATGCAGCGGTTCCTGCTCCTCGCCTACGCGGGGCTCACGGGCTCCGTCACCATGATCAGCTGCACGCTGCTGGCGCTCACCCGCCTCCTCTTCGAGTTCAAAGGTAAGGCTGGGGTGTGGCGGGGCCTGTACACTGCAGGGCAGCTGGCCGTGGGCATGGGACTCTAAGGTTGGAAGGGCCTGGGGCTGAGCCCCTTGAGGATGCAAAAAGGGCTCTGCAGTCCCGTAGTGCTGCAGTGGGGGAAGCAGGGAGGTTCAGGGGTGCAATGTGGGCCTATCTAGGGGATCTCTTGCTGGGAGAGCTTGTCCTGGCCTCTGCTGGGGCCAGAGTCCCTCTGCCAGCGTGGTCAGAGCTGAGCTGTGCCTGCCCTACAGAGCACCTGGGCCCGGGTGAGACGGGTCAGCTGCTGCAGAGCGTCTGCCTGCTCCTGGGCTCCCGCACCCGCGACGTGGTCAAGGCCGCGCTCGGCTTCCTCAAAGCTGCGCTGTTGCTCGTGGACGTCAAGCTGCTGACCACGCATGTCCCCACCATGGTGAGTCCAACCAGAGGGTGGAGCGTGTCCTTCCTGCCACCCCAGCCCTGGCCAAAAGGGCTCCCAAGTGGGGGACAGGGTTCCCTTCCCAGCCTGGCAGCTGAGCTGCCCCAGCTCGGTGCACAACCTGCCTGGGGGGCAGCAGCGCGGCTGGGTCTCAGGGAAGAGTCCTGGGTGGGGGTGTTGGGGATGGGCTCTGTCTGGGGAGGGAGGGGGCCTGTGGTCAGGGTGGTGGCAGGGCTGGGGAGGAAGGCAGGGAGGGATGGGATGCGATGGCA